TAACTGGGAGTGGAATGCCTGGGTCATAGGGTATCCATATGTTTCGCTTTCATAGGTGGCTGCCAGTTTTCTAGTGTGTTTGAACCAACTCAGACTCCATTAGTAGTGTATGAGTTCCAGTTTCTTATCCACTTGATCTGGGCATTTTCATTTTAGTCATTCTAAGGACTATCTCATTGTGGTTTGAGTTTCCATTTCCTGGTGATAGTTGAGCTGAAGCACCTTTCATTTGCTGGCCAATCAGATGTTCTCTTGCAGGGTATAGATTCAAGTCTTGTACACTGGCGTTGTAAACTTTTTTCTTTAATTTTTAAAAATAAACAGTTTGTGTATGTAAACATTCTCATTCAGAGATTCCCACAGCAGTAATATCCTAGAGATCTGCTAATATATGTATAAATCCAAAATAGCTTTGACCTACAAGATTGCTGTCTAGATTACTTGGTAAACAAGGGAAAACTTTGCATGAAATGTTCTTTTCAGACCCTTAAAACTGTCAACATTTATTAATGGTAAGAAAGAACAAAGTAAAAGTGGTAATAAACAGACATATTTTTTATTTTTATTTTTGTTTGTTTTCATTTTTATTTTCTGGGAGACATTTTTTTTAAAAATTTAGCCTTTTGCCTTTTGGGTTTTATGAATTCTGATTGGAAACAGAATCAGCTGTTAATTAGTAATATGTTACTAAGAGCTACTTTAGAAGAATGTAATTTAAATTTGCTCAATCTATAGACAGTTGTTGGGTGTGTTTTTTCCTGCTCATAAGTAGTATAGGGTTGTGATAAAAAATTACGGAAATATATATAACATAGAAATTAAGTTTCCCAGAATCTCACCTCCAGAGATAATTGTTTGGTTTGTATTCATCCACATTTTCATCTATGAATTTGCTAACATATATCACACATGATATACTCAACATACTGTTTTGCCACTTTTTTATTTTTATTGATTTATTGATTTATTTTATTGATTTTTTACAGAGAGGAAGGGAGAGAGATAGAGAGCTAGAAACGTCGATGAGAGAGAAACATCGACCAGCTGCCTCTTACACACCCCCTACCAGGCATGTTCCTGCAACCAACGTACATGCCCCTGACTGGAATCGAACCGGGACCTTTCAGTCCGCAGACGGACGCTCTACCATTGAGCCAAACCGGTTTCGGCTGCCATTTTTTTTTAACTTCTCAATAATTATTGTTACTGAATTTTTAGGAGTTTTAGTATATCACCTTTTAAACCTTACTTGTAGATCTTTAACATGCTTCGTTTTCTGACAGGTTCAGTATACATCTTTTAATTTATTTACCACAGTGTTCTCTAGAACACAAAAATTCCAACTAAAGATCTAAATTGATGGAGTTTATAAACAGGTTGAAAATGGCTTGATTTTATCTCCCGGCAATTCTTTTTATACTTAAGGCATCCTAATCATGAGATTCAGCTATTAGATTGGAAATTCTACCCTGTCCTCTTCCTGAGAACTTCTCTGGTTGAGCCTGCCTTTACCATTTGTGGCTTCTGATCATTCTAGGTGGTTCCCACAGATGTGCCCCGCAGAGCACCTGCACAGCACACAGCCACCCAAGGATTGTGCTTGTTTTCTAGTTCAGTGGTTGGCATTAGTGGGAATGTCATCAAATCCTTTTTCAGCCGAAACCTGTCTGGCTCAGAGGATAGAGCATCTGTCTGCGGACTGAAGGGTCCCAGGTTCAATTCCGGTCAAGGGCATGTACATTGGTTGCGGGCGCATCCCCAGTAGGGGGTGTGCAGGAGGCAGCTGGTCGAAGTTTCTTTCTCATTGACGTTTTTAACTGTCTATCCATCTCCCTTCCTCTCTGTAAAAAATCAATAAAAAATATATTTTTTTTAAATCCTTTTTCAAAGAGAGTAGCCTAGTCTCCTGTAAACTCCAAGTGGATATTTTTTAATGAAGTGAGACTAATTTAAAAACATATACTGTTAGGCTTTTTTAAAAAGCATGTTTTACGAATTAATAAAAATAAATGCCAAGGTATTCTACTTTGTGGGATAGTATATAGCATCTAATATACAAACAAGTTTTCATTTTCTTCTAATCTTCAGATAAATCATTATATTCTGAGGTTCATAGCCTGAACTGGTAGCACCTTATATTGAAAAGAGAATAATTGAGCTATATTTTCTCTATCCAGATTTAAAAGACTGTATTAAAAATAATGTTTCTAAACATTGAAGAAGATATATTCTCTTAATACCTTCACTGTAACTTCCTGGTGAAATCGTGTGGTCTAGGCTTGGGGGTTTGATCGCCTTGCGTTTTTCCACTTTGTCAGTGGAAGATTGCCTTCCAGTTCTGCGAAGTATTTCGCCCCAACCCGATGGGCTTTTCTGTTGCAGTGGAACTAGATGGAAGCTTTTCTGTGGATTACAGGTTTGGCCACCTCAGGAACAGAAAATAGGCATTTTTCTCAGGGGCTTCTGTGTGACTGAACTGGCATAATGTGGTAGCCATCCTTCAGAAGAAATGGTGGATGGGGAGGAGGTTTCATACAGGTATGACCAAGCAAAAGGGGAAGCTTCTGGGTTGTATTGTTGCTACCCTAAATGTAAGGTACTAGTCTTAATAGCTAGTCAAATAAGATAAATTATTTTATTCTGTGTCCAGAAAAAGGTCATTCAGAATAATCTATTAGATTTACTTTGGGAACATGAGGATCCAAAACAAAGTAACGTGTCTCAGCCCCTCTCCTTCCATGGGGAGTACGGACAAATATAATGGCTCTCAACCCTGTGGATTTTAGATGTTTCTAGTAATTGTTTGGGAAAACAAAATTGTTTTCTATTTGTTCTTCTGGAAACAAAGAAGTAAAAGCTCTAGTCTTCCAAACTGTTTGTGTAAATAGTCAAATTCCTTTTTGTTTTTTAAACATTCTTGTTTCCTGCGCTGAAAACTCATTACCCGACTTAGCCTGCAGTATGTTTTTTCTCTGCTAAATTAAAGCAAAACAACAACAAGATGCCCACCATAACCTGCTTGTCTGTTGTTAGCAGCACGGAACTACTGGTGACAGATGCTTAGCCGTTGTGTGAACAACTTTGTTGTAATGAACATAAACAAGAGTTGCATTGGAGGTGCCACCAGGAATTGATTATCCGACTATAAGGATATTATTATACCTTAAGCAGCAGGACTGTTAGGGAATCTGCTCAGGGTGTGGTGACTATGGAGTTTTTAAGGCTGCTGCTAATACCCAATACCAGATTTTACAGCTATCTTCCCATTTCGTTAAAATAGTTCTTCCCATTTAGTTAAAAAAATGTGTTCCCTTTCTTTTAAGTGAACCATTTTATAGGTGGAGAGAGGAAAAACTTGCCTGGTAGGTTGAAACAAAAACTTTGTGAGGGAGATTAAATCCCTTGCTTAGATGTGGGAATTTGTAATTAAACTGATTTATTTGTCGATAGGGTCTTGGGCCAATATTGGCAAGCAGTTCACTGACTTTCATATGTGTTTTATGGAATATTTGTAATTAATTTTTTGTGTTTATAAACTATATGGAAAAAAAAAAAAAAACAGATACTACTTACAGAGCTTTATTCTTTGAGATCTTTGCAAGCACAGTTTTCTTAGGTATTAAGTGTAAGTCAGGGAGGAACCAGGTAAACACAGGCCTAGTCAGAGCTGAGTTGTTGTAAAGGGTAGCTGGTTTGGTTTGTTGTTTTGCTGTGTTCTGAAGTGAGACTGGTGGTGATCTTGGAGTGTCAGTATTTGTCTTTCTGGTTTGCTTTAGGTTAATGTTTGAAGTTTATTAATCATGTTGAGTAAAATAGCTATCCTTCCCTAAGAGCTTTCCTGCCTAATGGGAAAACTGATTTATAGTCACAGCCTAGTGAAATAGCATGGTAATAAAAGTCTTGGGCAGACTGTGGCTGTGCAATATTATTTTAGGCTATTCACCCAGGTTAGTTTTTTTTTTTAATATATATTTTTTTTCTTATCAGAATTGTCAATTCTAGTAGTGGGATTCTTTGAACTGTTTAAACCACATCTTGCTTGCTACTGTAGAAAATAGGCATAGATTCCTTTTTAAAGTCCAAACCATTCCTTTAAACACTAACAGATGTTTTTGCCTCCTCCCATTCACCATTTCTATAATAGTTAGGGCAGGGTGATATTAAGTCAACTCTTACTAGTTCTTTCCTCTGCTTGTTAACACCGCATTAAGTGGAAGTAGATTTGAGGCCCTCTGGAGTTTGACCAAAGCACACGCCCATCCCTTCCTGCTTATTTGGAACTGGTTCAAGATTTGGAGAGAAGGGTTTATTTGGGGGTGTTTCCCTTGTCTTATCTCTGCGTGAGCATATGCTAGGGTTGAATTTATTTTGACCCTGCCATTTAAATTTGAAACCGAAGCAAGAGTTTAAAGTACAGCAGACAAGACTCCTGCCTACGGAACTTTAGCCATGAGGGACCCAGGGAGGAAGGTGCGTATGTACATACATTCTGAAGTTTTCTTAGGGAGGTTGGTATCTGTATGCATGCACATCATTGTAAGCTAATAACTACTCGGCAAAGGGAAAATATGTAAAACTGTGTAAAGATATATGTGACATTTAGTATGTGTTTATGTGCTTCATTTTACAGCAGTGACTAGAATTCAAAATTTTGGCAAACAAATAAGTTCTGAATTTTTATTTGAATGCTTTTGGGTAAAGCTTAGGAGAATGGGTATTTTCAAGGAAAAAAGGTATCATTTGTGATTGATTTTTAACGGAGTAACTGAAAAAATATGTAGATTGATTAGATAGTCTATCATTTGGTCTTCTAAGACATCAAATAAAGAGCTATAAATTATATATATATATTTAGGTAAAGATCACTCGGCTTCTCCTCAGAGTTGAGAAGCAAGTCTCTCTTCATTGATTATTATTAATTTTTATCCAGTAATTTCAAGCACGGTTTCTTGCTTATGTAGTAGGCTGTACTGATTTCTTTCTTGACTGATCTCTTCCAGAGCCTGGCCCAGTTAGAGAATCTGTGCAAACAGCTGTATGAAACCACAGACACAACCACGCGGCTCCAGGCAGAGAAAGCCTTGGTTGAATTCACCAACAGCCCCGATTGCCTGAGCAAGTGCCAGCTACTCCTCGAAAGAGGAAGTGTACGTAAGATTTGAAAAATCCTAAAGGATAACATGTTTAAGAAAATGTATTCTTGTTTAGGGGTAGACTGGGATTCTTCTACGTAGGTGCCTTTGCCTTCGTAATTTTACTTTTAAAAAGCACCATGCCTGCCAAGTTAGCCAAAAAGAAAAAAAGAAGGAAGGCTTTAGCCTCTTCAGTAAAATCTCATTGAATACACCGAACATATATATTTTTTATGTTGTCTAGTTTCTGGGACTCCTTTTCTGTTGTTTATCCTTAATTACTACCTCCTTGCAAAGAAGAAAGGGCTGGATATAAATGACTTCTTATCCACAAAGTCCAGGTCACCTTCCACGTTCCCCAGCCTTCTCTATCTTTCCTCCTCTGTGCTACAGCTGCTGCTTCTTGCCTTAGAAATATAGGGGAAATGGTCTTCACAATGAAAAGTATGGGAAGTTACAATTTTAAAAATGGGATTAGAACCTCTTCTAGCTCAAAATAGCAGTGCAGTGATCAAAATAATACTTTTAATGAGACACAGTTTGATAAATATTTTTGGCAAGATGAGGGTCTGAGGAAGGCTAAAAATCCAACCATCATGAAAGGGCACTGAGAGAGTAGAATCCCAACCAGACTAGTGGCTAGTACTGTACTTAAGACTGGAAGGAAATGTGAAAGGAATGAAAGAACCTAATTTGTTGAGAAGATAAAATCCTGGGTGACTCCATTTTTACATTTTCATTAGTAGAGTTACACTATTATTCAGTAAACAGAACAAATTACAGTCTAAAAATTATCCTTTCGTAGTTGGAGAAGCTAACTCTTTCTGCAAGTGTCCGAAGGATACGGAGTCATGGTCAGAGATTGCATGGTGCTCTGTTCTGTTTTCATGTGTAGTGTTTTATATATTTCCGTTCAGTCACTTGACCTTAGGATTGATCCACTTAGATTTGTTCTATGGAAGATGCACAACTAGCTTTTCCACTTGACTCCCCCCTGACACTATGCTAACTGGAGACGCTCCTACTCACAGTGAGCAGGCTGCAATAGAACAGGACCTCTCAGTACGAACACCTCCTCAGAGTGGGTTCTTCCCTGTTCATCTATGTTGACTTCTTAGTGACCTTACAGATTTATTGCAATTATGTGTGGAGACCACTTGCATGTTTTGTAGTGTATAGTTACACACCATGTTACAGCAGCCTCTCTTACGTTATTAGTGATTTGACACACCCACTCTAATCAGCTTAAAACCTGTTCTGGGGTGTTGAATAAAAGTCACATGTCAAAGTTATTTTTATAAATTTTTTTTCTTAAGCTTAAATTTTTTTATAACTGGTGGTATAATGTAATGCCTGTAGGTAGCCTACTGTCTTAAGGACTTTTAGTTTTACAGACAATTATCCTTGGTCCTTGATTAAATTATTTTAATGGTTCTAAGTCTGTCTCTGTTTATGACATTAGGTAGTACAGTCACATGGAGGAATTTGCACATGGCTCCTTCTTGCACATTATGATCAGATAGATAATTCTGATTCAGTATAAGGTTAAAATTCATTAAAATCCACACTTGAGAATATGGTAATGCTATTTCATTTCTTTGGCCATGATTTCTCTTTCTCATACATAATTGTTATGAATTTACTTTAAAACTAGCATATTCTCCGAAGCTGTAGCTGATAGAATAGCTGTGCTAGTGAAAAGACATGCTAGTAATTTTGGGGTTACCTGTACAGCATAATGTAGATATTGGAGTATTGGAGATATTGGATTCAGTTTGATCAGGTCTTTCATTTGATCTTCCCTCTAATACTTTTCTTTCTTTCTTTCTTTCTTTCTAACATACTAAAGGAATATTTTGAGGTGACTTTGGGAATATTTTTGAGGTGAAACTTTTTATATTTTAACCAGGCTATTGATGGGAGAAGAGTTCTTGGTTAAATGAAAAGAGATTTGTCTTCTGAAAACCTTAATTCCTTTCTGAAAAGTTCCCTTCTCCCATGTGCTCCCTTGAAGTAATGGAAATATTGGGTTCAGTTTGATCAGGCCATTTACTTGTTTTTGTCCCTTGCTCATGACTGAAATCAGCCAAATTGAGCACAGGCTACTATATTGGCCTCTTTTTCTTGGAATGATAGACGCTCTAAAATCTAGAAGATTTAATGTAGCAAAACAATCTTTTCTTGAATCTGAGCAGGTATCTCCAAATGAAAAAAAATCTTATTATTGGCTAATTCAATAAAATGTAATTGTACATTTGCCCCTACCCACCCCTCTTTTCACAGTCATCCTACTCCCAGTTACTGGCAGCTACATGCCTTACGAAGCTTGTATCACGCACAAACAACCCTCTACCATTGGAGCAACGGATAGATATTCGTAAGTAGAGAATTGTCTATTCTTCCTTAAAGAAATTTGTTTGCTCAGTATCGTGCTGGTGGTAATAGTTAAATTGATATTGCTTGTTTGATAATATCTTGAAATTGCTAAGCATACAGAATATCTGGAATCTAGGTTCCCCCCACACCCCAGAATTTTGAGCTTATGAAAGTGAAGAGGGCCCAGAATAATTACTTCTAGATAAGCCTAAGTAACTCCTTTAGTTGTCAGAAGGTTTCTTTCATTCAGTCTTTACTGCCATTAATAACTAAGAAAAACATTGTTAAAGATTTTAAATTCTGTGCAGACTGTGTGATTTAACCATCTAGGAATAGATTCAAGCTGCCATACTTCGGGTTCTTCATTGAGACAAGTATAAGATTCTCATTTAGAAAGCCTAGTAATCTTCCACTCAAAATCCCATTTCTCAGTAGCATGAAGACGTAAGGGAGTTTAGAGTCAATAGCATAATTTTGCCATTTCTTGGACATTTAGTACATTTAAAGATATATGTCCTTCCCTGGCAGAGCTTTATGTCATGTGGATTGTTTTTGCTTTATAGGGAACTATGTGCTCAACTACCTTGCCACTCGGCCAAAGTTGGCTACTTTTGTGACACAAGCACTTATTCAGTTGTATGCCAGAATCACAAAGCTGGGCTGGTTTGACTGTCAGAAGGATGACTATGTCTTCAGAAATGCAATCACAGACGTCACAAGGTTTTTACAGGTATGATGTGTATATTTAATGTTAATGTAATAAGAATGGGAGAAGCAACATGCATATATTTATATACAGTTCTACTCTCTAGAAAGTGCACACAATAGAATTATTTGATATATACTTGTCTGTGTCTTTTTTACCCTTGATGTTTCTTGGCTTTGTATGTTTACTTTGTATGTTTACAGAACCAACAAACCCTCCTTCATTCTTTCTAATGCCTACATACTATTCTGATCTAAAATGCCATACTTTAACCGAAACCGGTTTGGCTCAGTGGATAGAGCGTCGGTCTGGAAACTGAAAAGTCCCAGGTTCGATTCCGGTCAAGGGCATGTACATTGGTTGCGGGCACATCCCCAGTGGGGGATGTGCAGGAGGCAGCTGGTCGATGTTTCTCATCGACGTTTCTAGCTCTCTATCCCTCTTCCTTCCTCTCTTTGGAAAATCAATAAAAAATTAAATAAATAAATAAATAAAATAATAAATAAATAAAATGCCATACTTTAATTAACTGATCTCTTAGGGGTAGGCATTAAGTTTGCTTCTATATTTGACTGTTAAATAGTCACTCAGTGACTATCCAAATAGGTAGGTAAATAAGTAGGTAGGCAGGCAGATAGATGATAGATAGATAGATAGATAGATAGATAGATAGATAGATAGATAGATCGATCTACATATATATCTATATTGTCATACTTTGAATAAGTATAAATGGATTATTGGCATTATTCAAGCAAAAGGATATGTGTATTTTGGCTTAAAAGATATTTCCAAATCACCCCCCAAAAGAAGTTCCTTCCTCCAACAATTAGAAGGTGCCTATTTCCCTGTGCCTCCACCCTGAAAGCTCAACTTAATTAAATAGGTAAAAGGAATTGTTATCTTAGCATTTGAGTTATGAATGGGATGGAACAATTTCTCATAGGTTAATTTACTACTTAATTTTTGTTTTCCTATGAACTTTCTGCTTATATCTTATGTACATTTTTAAGTCGGCTTCTTTGCCATTTTGTTGTTGTTGTTGCTGTTGTATACAGATTCTTTGAAAGTTGTTACACATTCATTTGTAATTCATCTTAAGTGTGTTTTGCCACTTTCTCTTTTTATAATGTGCATGGTATAATGCTTATGGTTATTTTTAAAATATGGAAGATTTCAATTCTGATGAAGTCAGAATCAGTCATCTTCCTTATGGCAATTAGGTTTTATGTCCTGCAAAGCAGCAGTTTTGAACTACAGTTTCTTGCTACCTTGTCTAGGCAGTTTTAATAGCAACCCATGATTCTGTCATTTCCAAAGTGTGACTGCATCTCCAGTGCTGAAATCAAGCTGCACACACCAACTCTTCTTCTTTTTTTAAACCAGGATAGTGTTGAATACTGCATCATTGGCGTCACAATTTTATCTCAGCTAACCAATGAAATTAATCAAGTAAGTGCTACAGCCTTCCTCATTGAAGTAAGTGCCATATTTTTCTTAGTCTTGGTGTTTTCTGCTCTGTGTGGGATGATCGTTTTTGGCAGTTGTGTGCTTTCGCGGTAAGTGATTAATGCTCTTTTGAAACTAAATAATTGCATTGGGTTTTCCTCTGTAAGTACAACCTATCTCACTCTTTTTGTCTTGGTCCCCTTCTGTCTCCAGAATATTTTATCTCCATCTCAGCTTTCCTCACTGGTATTAATGTTCACTATTAGAGATATGAGCAATGGTCCTAAGTCAAAGCTTAATGAAATAATTTATTTGTTAATAAAAAAGAATGAGTTTTCAAAAAGGAATTACAAAAGTGGAACCAGCATCATTTCTGTGCCCCTTCTGCTGCATACATTAATACATGTTTATAACCATTAAAAAATAAATTACCACATCCGATTATTAAAGATTTTGCTGGTAATCTTTTCAGAATGCATAAAATAGACTACTAAATTCCAAATGTTTTAAAGTCATTGATGATACAGATCACTACAGAGGAAACACCAGTGGCTTTCTTTTGCTCTGGCTGTTATTTTTCAGTCATTTACTTTCGTATCCAGCTAAAATTTATAATTACGGAACAGGCCAGTATTAATATTAGTTATAATATCTCACCCTTCAGCTAATAATTACATTGGCATCACTTTTGCTGTTGCTCATAATTGTACAGATATTTTTATTAACCCATGAGAAGTTTAAATTTACTTGCTTAGCCTATTACAATCTGGAGGCTGTATATGTTCTCTGTCACATACAATCCCCATTGTGGTTGATAATTATCAAAATAATAATAGCTTATACATTTGCGTGATTACTGTGTGGTAGGCGCTATTCTAAGCACTTTACTTGTATTAACTTATTTCATTCTCACAATAGTCCTAGAAAGGTACTGTGTATCTCATGTTCTTAGAGAAGGAAACTGAGGCTAAATAACGTGTCTAAGGTGTCACAGTTAGCAGGCAACAGTATCTGAATTTAAATCCACAGTCTTATTTCAAAGACTGCTTTAATAACTTTTTAAAAATATAACTTTTTATTAATTTCAGAGAGGAAAGGAGAGAGATAGAAATATCAATGATGAAAGAGGATATCATTGATCAGCTGCCTCCTGCACGCTCCCACTGGGGACCAAGCCCACAACCTGGGCATGTGCCCTTGACCAGAATCAAAAATGGTACCCTTCAGTCCACAGGCCAGTGCTCCATCCACTAAACCAAACCAGCTAGGGCTAACTACTCATTTAACTACTGTTACCTTTTTAGTCAGAAAGCGAGCATTAACTAAGTGCAGAGATTGTGGGATTCATATTCTCTCCTTGTGAAGTTTGGCCTCACAAAATACACCAGTGTTGGTATAAAAAAAGACTTAAATTTTATTTGTCTTTCTTAAGAAAACAATAGAAATGTGTGTAATTTACTTAATATAATTATTCTTGGTATTATGATCAGGTTATATGTGTTATAGGATGTATAATCTAGCAGTAGCTTATTTATCTAGGACACTTACTGATAACACAGTGACATTGAAGCTGGAAATGAGGAATACTTTGAACCTCTATATACCTTAATTTTCTGTGGGTCTTTTTAGTTAAGGGCTTGCAGATTCAAATCAGAAAGTGTAGTTCTGTTATCATTCCTATCTGAGCTTAGAAATAAAATCAGGAGGCCCATAACTTGGCTGTCTGTCAGAAATCTTGCCTCATTTGGCACATTATTCTTTAATGTGCCAAACACAAATGAACTTCCTCTTGGATGAATTGGTCAGTGCATAGAAAGATTTAAGCTTTTAATTGGAAAAAATACCTGACAACCTTTAACATTTTTAATCCTTTTTATTGAGTTACCACCTACTTATTGAATGGCAGGAACAGAGGACATACTAAAAAAGTAAAAGATTTAATCCTTAAACACAAAAACCTTTAAAATGTGGCTGAAAAGATGAAAAAGAGGAATAAGTGAGCAATATAGCCATTTAATTAAACTGTTCACTCCTGGGGTCAGGACTCTACGTAGAAATAGATTAGAGAAGGAGGAAAGTACCGTGTTTCCCCGAAAATAAGACATCCTCCAAAAATAAGACCTAGCGCATGGAAAGATAAGACATCTCCTGAAAATAAGACCTAGAGCAACTTTGGGAGAAAAAAATTAATATAAGACACTGTCTTATTTGAGGGGAAACAGGGTATTTACAGGCTGTTGTCATTCATCTGGAGTCCATGGCTGCTGCTTAAATGACTGTTTTGGAAATTCTGCAGTAACTTCAGCCCAGTGGATTGTTTATCAAAACCCAAGCCATGCTACTATGTGTTTTTGAAACTAAACCACAGGGCAACATAGTAGTAATTTTTAGCAGTGTCTGCCAAAAATTTGTTAAATTTTACCAAGGTGTAGAGGAAATTAAAACTTTGCAATGGAGATATTCATTCCTCCTTCTGTCTTTTCTCTGTAAACCTTGGAGACATGACATTCTGGCTATTAGCAGCTTATTGTCCTTTGCATCCTCTCACTTTATATGATTTTTATAGTAATTTAAATGATTAAAATGTATTTTGTATTTATGTTGCTTTTATTGGAAATCTTTCTAGTTTATTTGAAGTCTGCATGAAATTTTTTTTCTTTTTATTTAATTCTAAAACTTGTATTGTTTATTTTTCTGCACAGGCAGACACCACCCATCCTTTAACCAAGCACAGAAAGATTGCCTCTTCTTTCCGAGATTCATCATTATTTGATATCTTCACACTTTCCTGCAATTTACTAAAACAGGTGAGATGGTAGGCTGGGTCCTGCTTCCCTGTTTATTTTGAAAGGGTGACAGATGAGTGACCCCATAGATATTTATGCATCTCTTTAATCACCATCAACACCTCTCACATCATACCCGTCTCCAAGATGCTGAAGAAACTTGCTGGCCTGAGCCACTGGGGTTGGAGAAAGAATTGTGATTTCCCTACAGAAGAGCAGCTAGAAAATATTATCCTATGCTCCTATCTTAAAGGAACCTAGTTTACCACAAAGTTTGAGATTCTGCTGTTGGTTCCTTTTATAGCCACATAAAATCTTCCTGTGTGGAGTGCTCTGAAGGCAGGCTCCGACATTGTTAGCCACTAAAACTCGTCTGACTCCCTGTCCCCTGCTGAGCTAAAAGCAGCCAGTAAACAAGCCACATCTGTAAGGAAAAGCAGATTTTGGAATTTTAACATCCATTTAGATTTCATCACCTGAAGGGGTAGACAGTATCACATAAGGAAATTACTTGTTTTAAAATAGAATAGTTGGTGTTTCCATTCATTTATTGATAGAGTTGTTTATTGATAGAAATGTTAACTTATTGATAGGAATGTTAACTTACGTGTTCTACACATTTATAACAATGTCTGGCTGCTTTGTCCCTATAGAAATATAAATGGGATTAGACTCTGGCTCTTTGTTCATTTGGGGGACTTGGATTTTTTTTGTTCTTATTCTCATTTTCCAGTGTGTCCCAGTTTTAGTTTTATTATTGTTGTTATTGTTAATCCTCACCCGAGGATTGATTTTCAGGGAGAATCGAAGAGAGAGGGAAACACAGAGAGAAACATCAGTGTGAGAGAAACACATCGGTTGGTTGCCTCCTGCACGAGCCCTGACCAGGGCACAGTCTGGGTAGGAGCCTGCAACTGAGGTACCTGCCCTTAACCCTGTTAACTGAGCGGGACCTACAAATATGTCAAACGTAAACACTAACAGGGGTAGGACATATGAATACGTCCTTGAAATATATGTTGCGCCCTGAGAGGGACGGTATATATTTTTTGTAATCTTTATAATTGTTTGTAAAATTTATAATTTTTTAATTCAATGTTTCCATTTTTTTGTTGGTATTCTTTTCTATTTGTTTGTAATTTTGTATTTTCCTTTGTGCTTTCCATATAAATAAACGAAAAAATATATATTTCATTTATTTTAATTAAGTATAAATTTAAAAAATAATAATATAAAATTACGTCCACTGGGCATGACATACTGACACGTCCTAGTGAAAGAGTATGCACCCGTTGTACGTTGCGTAATTAAAAAGGGAACTTCCCGGTTAACAGGTTAACCAGAATTGAACCTGGGCCCTTTGATCCACAGGCTGCCGCTCTATCCATTGAGCCAAACTGGCTAGGGCCCAGTTTTAGTTTTAGAAACAACTTTGAATTCTTTGTCATTCCACTTAATGATCTCCATCTTTTTCCTCAACTGCCCGCTTATCTCAGAATTCCCAGATAGTTCTCAGGTTGGGTGAGCTGCCCAGAAGAAAACTGTTTTACCCCCTGTTTTACCTCAAAAGGGGAAAATCTTTTGAGAAAACTAAGGTTTGAATCCTCCTCACTGATACTATCAAACACAACTAGCTTCCCTGCCGGTGTGGCTCAGTGGTTGAGCGTAGACCTGTGAACCAGGAGATTATGGTTCAATTTCCAGTCAGGTCACATGTCTGTACTGCAGAATCCTCAATATGTGGCAGGCAGGAGGCAGCCGATCAATGATTCTCTCTCATTGATGCTTCTATCTCTCTCCCTTTCCCTTCCTCTTTGAAATCGATAAAAAATATATTTAAAAAATAAAACCAGTTAGCCAGCTCTCACCAAGTTCATAGCTGGTATAAACTCTGAACATGAGAATCCCAAAAGCTATAGGCCAGTATTGAGCTATATGGGCAAGTAAACTGCCGGTGAATAAATAAAGTGATTTTGTTTTAGGTTTGGTTTGAAATTTTTGTTGATTCTGATGATGGTAATATTAAAAAGAGGAAGGAAGGTAGGACAGAACTCCCTCCCAGAATTTAACCCTAGCCCTGCCTAGACATAGCTAGAATTTCACATGCAAATGAAGTAACCACACATATTGCTTCAGGATTCCCTGTGGCCAGTATGTCTACATGGAAAGAATAAGTGTCAAAGCGGGGATTTATTTAAATACCAGCTTCGGCCGAAACCGGTTTGGCTCAGTGGTAGAGCGTCGATCTGCGGACTGAAAGGTCCCAGATTCGATTCAGGTCAGGGGCATGTACGTTGGTTGCGGGCACATCCCCGGTAGTGGGTGTGCAAGAGGCAGCTGGTCGATGTTTCTCTCTCATTGACGTTTCTAGCTCTCTATCTCTCTCCCTTCCTCTTTGTAAAAAATCAATAAAATATATTTAAAAAAAATAAAAAATAAATACCAGCTTCGTGTTTTACGGTAAATGAGTTGTAATAGTAATAAGGAGCTAGGGTTGTCATGGTGGCAGTAAGATAATAGAAGTGCAGCATCTTGTGGCAGAGGAAACATAACTTCTGTGTTGAAATGTAGTCCTCCCTTTCTGGCTCAACAGCCTGCTCTGAGTCTAATAGCAAGCTTGGAAGAGGAGTGGTTGCTTGGGGCTCATTATGTTAATTTTTACAGGCTTCTGGAAAGAATCTAAACTTGAATGATGAAAGTCAGCATGGTTTGCTCATGCAACTGCTCAAACTCACTCATAACTGCCTAAACTTTGATTTCATCGGCACATCTACTGACGAGTCCTCAGATGACCTGTGCACAGTACAGATTCCCACCAGCTGGAGATCAGGTAAGCGCTTCGGCCCGCCTGAAACAGGCTGCTGCTCAGCTCTGCGCATTACTGTAGGACAGTCTGCAGGACCCCTGCAGTCCCTGTTTATTGAATAAGAGCATTTATAATTTCAGCATCTGTCTTCAGAAAGTGAGGGAGAGCTTCTTGGAGATCTTATGGATCGCCCAGCCTGAAAGAACTTTTAATTACTGACCAGTGTGACTTTGACCTTCTTACCACCTAGAGTTATTCATTTGAGCTTTGAAAACAAAATCAAGCAAAAGAACATGTGCTTATGTTTGTGTGTTCCTAAGGATAAAAATTCTTGCTATGAACAGAGCCCTATTGTCTTAAGTTTCTGAGAATCAGAAGAATTAATCTGTTTCTCAGAAGAGCTAAAAATTATGCCTTAAAACAGGAAACAAAAAGCCCTTATTAGCTTATCACGTTCAAAGATCATAAGCACCGTGTAAGTGAAGAAAGCGGAAAGATTGCTCCCTAGCCAGTGCCAGCACTCAGCCAGCGGCAGTGTGCAGACATGCGCAGTGAAGTGCTTTTGTGTCTTTCTTTCAGCATTCTTAGATTCTTCAACTCTGCAGCTGTTTTTTGACCTGTATCATTCCATCCCTCCTTCATTTTCACCTCTGGTGAGTCAGTTTCTAAAACAAACCTATTTCTAGAAAATAGCAATGGTGAATGAGCTTATGTTCATTTTGTTATACAAAATCATAGAACTAACGCATTGGAAACACTAGGATTGGTTATCTAGCCAAGGTCAAGCTTACAGTTTAAAAGTTCTTGTAATAAAGTCTTAATTGTTTTAAAATTATTCCTGTTTAATGACAAATTGCTGCAGATGTCAGGCTCTTTTGGTCTCATCTTGTCCTAAAAGATGTTGGCCTGGTGTTTCAGATGGTTGAGGTAAAATACCGTTGTGCAAAACATAAAGAAGACACAGTATAGTAATGGGTGTTTGGTGTAGTGTTTCTAGTGGACTACTTCCTGGTCATTGTTGTACTTTTCCAAATTAATGTAGACCTTCCTTTGCTTTAATGAAACACGAATTCAGTGTTGTTTGTATCAAGTTAGGAAAAGGTAATGTACTCAACAAGAGTAATTAATGAAAAGGCTGTTTATAAAGGTGTGGGCAAAATGAAGGGAAGCTAAGAAGAGGTGATGACTGTACCCCCTGGGGTGAGCAGTTGTGGGAAGCTTCAAGCGGCCAGGCAGGAGCTCAGGAGGAAGATGAAGCTGAGGCCTAGGGCAGGGCTGTACAGTGTACAGCAGAGATAGACATTGCCAACCACGGCCCAGCGGGGGGTGACACTTCTTTCCTCCTGCCCTGATCTCCTTGCTGGTACTTTCCAATGGTTGAAGCCAACTAGAAGCAAGAGGGCAAGGGAGCTGGGCTGCTGTTACTCAAGAGGTCAGCCTCCCAGGGAACAGAGCAGGGAGGTGAAGGGTAGAAAATAGATCTGGTTCAGCAGAGTATAAATATCTCGCACAGTAGGGAAAGGGTAAAATGCTTTCATCGTAAACGCTGGTTTTTTCATGGCCCAGATATTTCATTGTAGCACTACATAGCAAAACCTGATTAGCCAAAGATCTTAATAAAACAGAAAAAAAAAATCTAAAGCTTTATTTAAACCATAAATTGCCTGGTATTTTCAAGCCTTAAATATATATGTTAACAAGAATGAAGGAAGCCATTGGGGTGCACAGAGAATATTGCCTAAGTTTAGGAATTTCCAGAGTGTGAATTTAAGTAGTTGTTATGATCAGATTGGATGTGATGCTCTTTTTTTCCTTTTAATAAAGTTGTTTTAGATATCCTAAGCTATATCCTCTTTGATCTTTCTATATTATAATTGTAGCAGGGGTTGAAAGAAGAGAAATAGAGGCATATGTAAAAAATAGTAGAGGAGTGGAAAAGACCATGAAAATGGCTGTACTACCTTTTTAACATGAGCTGTGTTTGGGTTGTGCCCTGTTTTTAGGTATTATCTTGCTTAGTACAGATTGCCTCCGTTAGAAGATCCCTGTTTAACAATGCAGAGAGGGCCAAGTTTCTCTCTCATCTTGTCGATGGTGTTAAAAGAATACTGGAAAATCCACAGGTAAATGGATTTGAGGATTTGTTTTTATTTGAATAAATATATGATTGCTATCTCTATATATGTGATATATATGATTCTGTATGTGTGTGTCTGTTACAAGTCGGAAGGAGATCCATGTACAGGCCATACTTAGTGGAAATCCCAGAAAACAGCTCAGTCTTGTTCTAAAAGGTTTAAGTGAATCTGTATTTGCAGAAAGTTCTTGAAAATGTTGGCCCAAAAGAGGAGCTCGTACCCCCTAGCTTAGGAATTAACAAGTTGTGGAAAGGATCCCTTTGCACAGGAAAATAAGGTGAGAGCTAGAGCCATTTACCCCCAAGAAATTAAGAATTTTAATTTGTTTTTGTTTCCAATTTTTTGAATGTGCATTATTTATTTAACTATATAGATCAGCTTTTAAGTGGGAAGGGAGAGATTTCTCATTCAAATATCTGTTCCATAACTCAGTAGTCCTTTTTGTCTTGTCCCCAAGATTTTGTAAACATCTCTTTTTTTAAAAAGTATAACTTCTCTACACTAGTTCATATTATAAAATCAGTTCATAGTTCATTCGTTCAACAAATTTTATGAAACACCTACCATGTGCCAGGGATATGGTGGTGAATAAAACAAGGTCTGTCCCCCTATGCCAATAGAGGAAGACATATATAAGGAAAATAAATATGCTGGTATTATATTCTAATAAATCTAAAGTTAAGTATAAAATATATAAACATAATATAGGAATAGATCAATTTATTTTTTATTATTAAATGTTTAAAAATATAAAACATTTGCATAACTTTACTGCTGTGCTTTAATCTTGATAAATTTGACAGATGTGAAGATGAAATTTTTCTTTTAATTGATGAGAAGCAAGCAGACTAGTTACATCCTAGATCATGGTTGTTTTTTTTGTTTTTTTGTTTTGTTTTGTTTTTGTTTTTTTTGCCATTTATCAGCTTTATAACCTTAGGCCCATAGTGTGATCCATCTGGGCTTCAGTTTCAGACTCTTTAGTTGAGACTAATGCCACAAGGTGATTACTATGAACACATGAGATAAGCAAAGTACTCACCCTTTTTTAAAAAAATTATTTTTAAACATTATACAGATGTGTCCTTCTGAATGATGGCTCCAATCTTACCCGTTTAAGTAGATTGCCCCCCTCCCCTGATGCCATCCCAAATGTCACTCGGAAGTATAGTGAGTCACATTTTACATTTTATTTTCCTCCTGTGCTGTCACCAGAGTTTATCAGACCCAAACAATTACCATGAGTTTTGCAGACTACTGGCCCGACTGAAGAGTAACTATCAACTGGGAGAATTAGTAAAGGTGGAAAACTACCCTGAGGTCATCCGATTGATAGCTAACTTCACAGTGACCAGCTTACAGGTTTGTCTTTGATAGCTTGGCTCTTTCTTCCTAAACATTGGAATCTCTCCTCTTGCTCACTGGTTTTAGCCTTCTAAGAATATTCTTTCCCCCCCCCCCCTTGGCAAAAGTGAATTATAAATACATGTAGGGTAACCTTGCAGAGTAATTACTATGGTAGTCTACTCATGTGTATTACAAAAGTGCAAGGAGTATTGGGAGAAGAACATATGAGAATTACAAGGCAAAGAGAATCCCTTCAGAATCACACACACACACACACACCCAATAGGCAAGAGTGAACAGGGAACTAGACAGAGAGTAAAGACAGAGTGAATGCCCTCACTTTCTTATTCATGTAGCATAGGGCTCTGGCTCTCAAACGTATGGCTTGCATCAAAATTATGTGAGGAGCTTCGTGAAAAAGACAGGTGCTCGGATCTTACCCCACAATTTCTGGTTCACTAGGTTCCGGGTGGAGGCCTGGTGTCTATTTCTAACGTGCTCTCTAAGCGATTCTCATGCATACTAATGTGTGAGAAGCACTTATGCGAGGTTTTCCTTGCGGCAAGATTTACTAACCCAGCGTAAAACAGCTCTTCTCAGTAGGTGCCTAGTCTCTGAAATACTAATAAATACATTATACCAATTGCCATACACAGAACAAAGCCCATAAAAGATTCTTATCTTAAGTCTTTATTCTTTGTGTCAAGTGGCATGGGACTAATGTATTGTGTACAGAAATAAGAAGTATGCCTCCTGCTCTTTTGGTTTTTCTTAGCACTGGGAATTTGCCCCAAATAGCGTGCACTATCTCCTGAGCCTATGGCAGCGTCTGGCAGCCTCTGTGCCATATGTGAAAGCCACAGAGCCCCACATGCTGGAAACTTATACTCCTGAAGTCACCAAAGCCTACATTACATCCCGTTTGGAGTCTGTGCACATCATACTGAGGTAAGGACATTGGGACAGCCTTCCCCGTTAGCCTGGCGTTAGACTTGCCAGAGATCAGACACCCCATTGGCAAAAAAATGTATTTGATGAAAGTCTTATTGGAGCTGATACTGTTAGTGGTCATTCTTTTATGTCAGCAGAATATCATAAAATCTGAAAGAATAGTTTTTAACATCCTATTCGTGTCCTATTATTGCCATCAGTAGCAATATCTTTAAATACAAAATATGTTTGTCCTTGCCACTGATTTTTCTTAAATAGGAGAGAGACATTTACAGACTATAGATTATAAGAATTATAATGTGTGTAAGTTATAGGTGCTTAATGTGAACTACTAAAATACTAAAAAGATAAAAGGGATTACACAATCCAGTGTTGACTACAGGAAATAAGAATTCTAGGCAACTGATCACTGACTGTATTACATTTACACATGTTTCTGTCTACCCTGTCAAATGTTCCAGAAACTTATAGCTAAAGGAAAGTCAGAGCCCTGCACAAATGGCTGTGTGAAGTTATTTGGTTTAGGTACCTTTCTTGCTTGTGGTTTGGGTTGTGTTTGTTTTCCTCACAGTTTTGGAGGCTAGAGGTCAGATCCAGGTGCCAGCAGGGCTGTTTCTGGTGAGGTCTTTCTCCTGGGCCTGCAGATGACCAGCTTCTCTGTGTGTCTTCACAGGGCGTGTGTGTGTGTGTGTGTGTGTGTGCGCGCGCGCGCGCGCACACGCACACGCACACATATATGTATATTATAAGGACACCAGTCCTATTGCACTAGAGTTCCACCTTTAAGACCTCATTTAACCTTTTTTGAGGTATAATTGACATAAAGCTTTCTATTACTTTCAGGTGTACAACATAATGCTTCAGTATATTCAGTATATCAAGATGATCACAATAAGTCAGGTTAACATCCATTACTATACATAGTTAAAATATTTTTTTCTTGTGATAAGAACTTTTAGAACTACTCTTGTATATTTTTCATTGGCTATTTCTCGGGAGAATTTACTTGGACTATGAAGATCTTGGTTTTTTAAGTTGGATTTTTAATTTGCTTAGAGTCGAATGCATTTAATTGTCATAACAGTTCATGGTCTTAACTGATTATGACTTTGAATCATTTCAGAATTTGAGTATTTTTGAAGTCCACTGGGAAATGTTATTTTATTAGCTGCTTAGTTTCTGTTCTTGAGGAGTCAGCTGATGTCTGTGAGACCATGTGGGGGAGTGGTTACATGGGTGGGCTCTGGGCCCAGAGAGCTAGTTAATGGCTGTGTACTCTTGGGCAAGGTTATTATAGGGATTAGTTTACTATGTCTTCTGGCCCACTGTGTGGACCACAGTAAACACATAACTATGAGCTGCTAGTGGTAGTGGAAGTGGTAGAGCAAGAGCTGCTGCTGCTGCTGGGTTGTCATTCTGTGATCTAACAGTAGACAGAGAGCTTATGACAGGATTTTCAAATTTATGAACTAGTAGAGAAGGCAAAACCTGGTATAAATCCACAGGGTCCCATCTGTAATTCTGAAATCCAAGATGTGAAAACTAAATTTTCTCATAAATTTGGCACCAAAATCGATTTGATGGCAAAACGTGACATGTACTGATATGAGACCCTTTATGGTCTTTTTAAATTCTACTTGGTGTGATTATTCATAATAGTTATACATTCTGCTATAGGAATATTGTATTTGCCACACCACAGAGCCCATTTAGGGTTCATATTACATGGCAGAAGTACCATATTGTCTCCCTAAAGCCTCAAGATTTCTGAATTCCAAAACACATCTGGTCACAATGGCCTCACTCAGGAGACAGGATACTTATCATCCCAAAGCCTATTATGGTCGAGAACAAACCAGAGGCTAAGAGGCCGGAGCTCCTAGGGTGGAGAAACATAGGAATGAGAGGAACAGGGCCAACAAATCCAGATTGAAAGATTGGACACCAACAAGCAAAATATCCCTCAGGGAGTCTGGTGCTTAGTTTGAAGGTGTCTGCCTCCCAATTTTTTTATATTCCTTCTATGATTAAAAGTAGTGTTGGGATATGGGCCTCTGCTGTTGGAAACAGTGGGTAAATGAAGAGGAAGGAGCTGCTAGGATGGGGAACTCAATAAGCATATTTCTTCCCTTGGGAGTAGAGATGGACTGGAAGATCCTCTGGAGGATACAGGTCTGGTCCAGCAGCAGTTGGACCAGCTGTCTACAATCGGGCGCTGCGAATACGAGAAGACATGTGCGCTCCTCGTGCAGTTGTTTGACCAGTCGGCTCAGTCCTTTCAGGAGCTGCTGCAGAGTGCCAGCGCAAGCCCAATGGATATTGCCGTGCAGGAGGGTGAGTGGACAGTGGACCGGGCCTGTAGGACGTGATGTCGGTATCCTTTCACTCATTGCCACCTCTGTCCTCCCTTTCCCTCAGAAGCATTCTTCCGTCATCAGCTTCCTCTGTACATGCAAAGGGGTGTTTGTTAAATGCTACAGGGGACTAGGGAAGAGTAACTGAAATCATTTGCAGTGGAGGTGTTTAAGTCCTGCACTCTAAAAATAGTGACCTTGTCTGGTAGGGGAAACTTGGTTTGCTGGTGAATTTTCCCCTTGCCAGCACTCTTACCAGAGCAGAGTAGTAGCTGTAGTCTATAAGCAAAGTAAGGCTTTGTGGCTTCTCCATGGTTCTTAAGATAAAGGAAGCTCCTAATGAGAAGTGGTCCTCCCAGTGAGGGATTTCTTCGTGAAATTATTACTGGAGGTGACATTAATGGTTTTCTCCTGTTGCAGGAAGGCTGACATGGCTGGTTTACATCATCGGGGCTGTGATTGGTGGCCGGGTCTCTTTTGCCAGCACTGATGAGCAGGATGCTATGGATGGTGAGCTTGTCTGTCGGTAAGTGCTCCCACGGGGCTTCCTGTTTCACTGCTGCGACCCACCCTCACCCACAACCCCTTTGGGTTCTGAAGCCACAGGAACATGCTTCTGTCAATGCTTTTCTCCCTATTAATGGAATATAATCTCATGAGAACGAAGGACTGTTACAGGTCCAGTTTCAAACCTTTTATACATACAGCAAGAACTCTGACTACCAACCTTACTTTATTTTTTTTATTTTTTTTTTCCAACCTTACTTTAATTCGGCAAGGAATTGGTGGATACAGAATTAGGAAAATTGGACTGAGGAGTTGCTTTTAGTCCTGTTTAAGGGCAATACCTGGAAGTTAATAAAAGGTGGACTGCTTTTTCTATCAGAGCAAGTCTGATAGAAAACAGTGGTTCTTCCAGTATCCTCCAAAGATAGAATTATATACTTTCTTCAGCCTTTCAGATCTCTTAACCTTATACGTCTCCACCTCCAGGTCTTCAGGTTATTTTGTATCTGTGTGATTCTTATATTACTAACCCCCATAAATAAGCATTTAGTGATTTCTAAAAATTTACCATAGAAATAAAATGGTGGGCTATTGACCACCCTACAGCAGAGGTTCTCAAACCTTGAGGACCTCAGAGAGCCTTTGTTTAATATGAGATACATCTGTCAGTGTTGACCGTATTAGATATAAAACAGAACATTTTTATAATTCATTTTAAAGAGGCGAAAAGCCAAATTACATCTCTACATAAATAATACTTTTTAAAACTTGTTCCAAAAAATAAATAAATAAAATAATGAGAAGAGTGGCTTTGTTCTAATGCCTGGATAGAAGTCAGCTGGGTTCTCAGACCTGCTTCTGCCTTCAGTCTTGTGATCCCATGGTCTTGTAGCCCTAGGAAACCACACTGCCCCCTCCTGTGAGAATTTGAGGGAAAGGGCAAATAGTGTGGGAGGGTTTTTATGGAAATAGTTTTGTGACCTTTTAGAGAACTGCTACCCTGAAGGGTTCTAAACTTTCTGGTGAGTCTTTAGAGATAAACACATTTTAAAGGGGTGCCTTAGAATTTATTGCTCCCCAGATATTTTAATCCGTAATCCTTATTCATATTCTGAAAATCCCCATTTGTCTCTTTCTACCCCCATTTTGTCTGTCAGATGACCACTTCACAGCTTGTCACACTGGCATTTTTTGACGAGTCGAGCAAAGGTTTACTAAGGATGACATAACACCTCTTTGAGTTTGCAGCCCGGTGTGATACTGTGTGTGCCACAATGTAAATTGAGTTTAGACAGTCTCTTCTCTACCAGTTCTAGTTGCGTGTTGCTGCACAATGGCTGAATCTAATTCACTCATGCCATGTCACACCTAGTTTGTTACCTATCCTCACAATAGCAGAGTGTCAGATGACTCACTTGTAATAACATCATTCGTATTCATTCACATCCATGCACTTACATTCCGGTATGCTTTCTTTGTGGGGATGGGTCCAGGGAGAAGGGACGAAGTCACAGGTAGCATATCTGCTTTTGGTCCCTGGAAGTGTTGTCACCTGTGACCATTGTCCTTCATGTGTCTTCATTTCTTTCTTGGCTCTGTGAGAAAAACGATGAGAACCATTGGCTTCATCTAGTCTCCCTCGTTTTTATAAATGAGGAACAGGGACTCAAAATAAATTGCTTTACTCAAGGTTTCACAGAAGTTTCCAGGAAAACCATTAATGAAAGATGGGCTCCCCCCACCCCCAGCCCCGCATCCCCTGGCCCCACTATCGTTAAGCTGATTACAAGTTCTGCCTCAATCTACAGTCTCAGCGGACTGGAACTTTTAAACATCTCACTAGTCATTCATATTATTCCTTGGCTGTGGTTCCTGTGGGGCAGACTCCTTCGTCCCTCCCTAGCACTCAGAGCCTGTGGAGAATGCCTTTCAGATACTATGGAGAGGAGAGGAGACTTGTCCGACTCTTTCTAGAAAGTCTAAAGAGACTGGGATATCCTGCTGTTGAGAGAACCATTGCTCTTCTTCTAGGGTGCTCCAGCTGATGAACCTAACAGATTCTCGCTTGGCTCAGGCGGGCAACGAGAAGCTAGAGCTGGCCATGCTGAGCTTTTTTGAACAGTTTCGTAAGATCTACATTGGGGACCAGGTGCAAAAATCCTCGAAGGTAACAGACTCTCTGTTGGCTCCATTGGTTCTCCCTTCTGTTTGTGGAATTGCTGTTCAAGGAAACAGCTGCTAACCGTTCCGACAGTCTCCAGGTTTTATGTATCAGGAACAGTCCGGCTGTCTCCTCTTAGTTTATAGAATTTTGAGAGACTCATCCAAGAATAGGCCCATTTCTCTAGTGCTGCATATACTTAACAAATACCAGAACTGTCAGTTCTCAGTCTCTGTTCATGAACTGATGTTTAGAACAGCAGAAGGTTTCACAGTTTTGTTTTTTTGTAAATTCAGCTTTTGAAGGGACGATAAGATAACCCAACACCTACCCAGTACTCAGTAATACTTAGAGCCTAGCTTTTCAGTAAAGGCTTCTTCAGCATTGTTGGCCATTCTCCCCACATCTTACCCCTTGAATGAGGATGTAACAGTACTGAGATGTGATTTTTCTAATCCATATTTTCTGGTTACTTTCTCTTCTCAACACAACACCAGTTGTACCGCCGCCTCTCAGAAGTTCTGGGCTTGAATGACGAGACCATGGTCCTAAGCGTCTTCATAGGAAAAATGTAAGTGTTCTGGCTTGCCATCAGCAAGAGTCCCTTGCAATCCTGTTGCAACTGTAAAATGTGATCTTGGCATTGTGCTGCCAGTGCCTTGGTATTCCAGCATTGATCGTTTGCGTCAGAAAACTGTGCATTTTGAGTGTGTGACAAGCTGTGCTTAGAGATATGGCCCGGCCCCAGAGCATTCCAGGCTTGTACAGGCAAGGATTTAATTTTGTTCATGTGCAATCTCATCCAAAGCCTCTGGAATCACAGGTGAAACCCTGTCGTGGCATTAGCAAAACGGCCCTCCCTCCGCAGTGATTGGTGCTCAGCCTGCACTCCATCACCCTGTGCCAGGGGTGCCCGGAGTGGGCACCTGCCTCCTGGTGCTGATTTTCACTCGGCGGCCCCCTGGGAGGAGAGCCCCACTTAAAACAGGCTCGTTCCTCTCAAGCATCACACCCTTTGAGAGTCTCAGACTCTCCAAAATCTGGTGCTATTGTTTGACTTGCCTTCAAAGTTGGAAGGAAGAAAGCTCCTAATTGGCCCTTTTGTTGTTGTTGTTTTTAAGTTGTGCCCTTTGTTTGCATTTCCCCTCTTTAGGAGCTTAATTTATCAAAGCGCACATTGGAGCCAACTTACCAGGGCCGTGTGCAAAGTGACATTTTGCCTCCTTCCAACCATCCCAATCCTAAACACTCATTTCCATGAGCTGGTTGATAATTTAAGATGAAAAAGGCAAAGGGGGTCTACAGGACTCTGCCAGCCAAGAATCCAGAAGCAAGGGCTACTAGAATTCTGCAGCTGACAGTGGATGGTGCAGGTGCAGAATTGCATACGTCTGCATGTTATCACTGCCGCAGAAATCTCTTACCCTTGCTGCAGAAATCAGCCCTGGAGTGCCCCAGAATTCCAAGGGCCTGGGTATGGGCCAGTGTAGCTTTGGAACCAAGTAGTGAAGATTATCTGAAGGATAATTTTTCTAGTCAACCAAATGTAAGTACGGAGATTTTATACCCATTTTTTGTGGTTGTGATGTCTGTGAATTGGTGATGCAGATGTGTGGTGATTCGTGATGGATGATTTTCTAATCCCAACCCTCAAGGAAAGCAGGCAAATCAAAAGTGTGTCCTGTGTTGTTTTTTTCTTTTTGTCCTCCAGCATCACCAACCTCAAGTACTGGGGCCGCTGTGAACCAATCACCTCCAAGACACTACAGCTTCTCAATGACCTCTCCATTGGATATCCTTTTCTAAGCCAGCTTCTGCACACCGCAGGGATGTGGGGTGCGTCCTCCTAGAAATCATGGAGGGATGTTTCTACTTCAATTTAGCTTTATGGGTATTTAAATGTCTTCCATTCTAGGAGCCAAAAGCAGTGCCCACACAGAATCCAGGAATAATTCCAGGCCCCAGAAATGAGGCAACCCACAAGCTGATAGTTTACTACAGATTTATCCCTGGCTATCTCTAGAAGCAGCCTGATTACAAGCTTCGCAGTAAAAGCAGTGGCTCTGCTTCCTCTCCACTTGGACTAGGTCTGCTGCAAAGTTGGAACCGCTCTGAGACAGCCTCTCACAAGCCAGAGTCTGCAAGAGAAGTAAACCTTAAAAATACTGAGTGACTTTTCTCAATTCTCCAAAAGATTATACACCGAGTGGCCAGATTATTATGATCTCTGAACATATATACACACACTGTGTCTGGCCACTCAGTGTGTGTCTATATCTATATATCTATAGATAGATAGATAGATAGATAGATAGATAGATAGATAGATAGATAGATATTTTAGAGGCCTGGTGCATGAATTCGTGCATGGGTGAGGCCCGGCCAGCCTGGCCAGGGGGAGGGGACACTGGTGTTGGCTGGTCTGCCTGCTGATTGAACTCCTAGTCAAGGGGACAATTTGCATATTAGCCTTTTATTATATAGGATATACACTGAGTGGCCAAATTATTATGCATTCAGAGATCATACTAATCTGTGTATATAGCTAGTACCCTCCTAAATGCATAGGAGAGAAAGTTAATTCACTACACACAATGGACCCCTTAGGCAGGGCTTTAGGGCTTAATTATCTCTTAGAAGCCACCTGGAGGAAAGCTGCTTTAGGATGTTTATGGTTCTTGGAAACTGCTGGGTTTTATCTATTTTCTTACTGATAAGAGCTTGATATGGTTGTTCTCACTGCTCAGTTAAACACTGCTTAGAAGAGTACCTACACATTTTCCCCCCTTTTGATAGTGTTATACTAAGTGGTTAAGAAAAATAATATCTGGATATGGAACTGTACTTAGGATAAAGTAGTTTCATTCTGCATTCAAGATTCTTGGTTTGGCCGAAACTGGTTTAGCTCAATGGATAGAGCGTTGGCCTGCAGACTGAAAGGTCCCGGGTTCGATTCCGATCAAGGGCATGTACATTGGTTGCGGGCACATCCCCAGTAGGGGGTGTGCAAGAGGCAGCTGATCGATGTCTCTCTCTCATCGATGTTTCTAACTCTATCTCTCTCTCCTCCTCTCTGTAAAATGTCAATAAAATATATATATTTTATTTTTTTTAAAAAATATATTTTATTGATTTTATACAGAGAGGAAGGGAGAGAAATAGTTAGAAACATCGATGAGAGAGAGACATCGATCAGCTGCCTCTTGCACACCCCCTACTGGAGATATGCCCGCAACCAAGGTACATGCCCTTGACCGGATTCGAACCCGGGACCCTTCAGTCCCCCCCAAGCCGACACTCTATCCATTGAGCCAAACCGGTCTCGGCAAATAAATAAATATATATATATATATATATATATATATATATATATATATATATATTTTTTTTTTTTTTTTTTAAGATTCTTGGTTTGCATCCCACTTTCCTTGACCTTCTCCTTTTGCCTGCACATACAGTAGCGTAAGAAAACTAGTGAAGCTGAGTGCAGTACAGTTCATGCTGAACAATCACACGGTGAGTGGTCCTAGCCCTCTTCCTGCTCCTCTCAGCCAGACTGCTCCCGACCCCCAGCACACTGCAGCTTACACTTAACTATCGTCATAGCTGCTCCAGAAGGTCTGCGTTATGGTGAATCTGCCAGCTGTTACTCATACCAAGATAAATTAGTTGTAGGTAACAATAACAAATCAAAAAATAAATTCTTAATATCCATCATATCCTTAAGGAATGATGATGTAGCCATTAGCTTGAAAGGGATCAGTAGTTCTAAAATTACTGACTTGCATTCTGCCTCTAACCCATGTTTTTATCACTTTCACTTGTTTTCTCTTTTTCAATAGAGTGAGCACTTTTCATTTTTGGGCATTAACAATCAGTCCAACCTGACAGACATGCGGTGTCGGACTACCTTCTACACAGCACTTGGGCGTCTCCTCATGGTGGATTTAGGTACTGCAGTAAATCTTAGACACAAAGTAATCTGACATTGTTGTAAATTTTCACTTGAGGAAAGAAACCGAGGTGTGGGATCGGTCTTTTCTGTTGTTTCAAACAAAACTATTTGAAATAATAGTCTGAGAGTACATAACACTATCAGGGTCCCTATACCTGAAAGAGAATAGCAATATGTGTCTGAAATTTTCAGCTGATGTGCAGTGATTTTAAAATACCGAATTTCTCATCTGTAAAATATGGAATTGGGAATTGAGATTCCTAAATGCTTCTTGTCGGTCATATAACCCTGTCCACCCCCCATAGGGATGCAACACAGCCTTTTATTTCCGGTTCATTAGCACATATGAACCCGGAGGGCATACACTCCTTTCTAGCTCTGGCTGTGATATTACAGTTAGGGATCAACTAATAACTGAAGCAGAATGGCATCATCATAATTTTGAGCTATTTAAATTTAATCCTACTACAATGACATTAAAGGGGTTTTTTTAGGTTTGTGAAAGCTTACTAAAAAAGAGAGAACTGAATAAAGCCTCTGCACACACCTGTTTCAAGCTTGAGTCTCATGTAGTTCTCACTCAACAGACTCAGTTCTCTCTCAGCTGACTATAGTTCTCACTTAAGGAAAAACAGAGAAATACCAGAGTGCCTTATATACATAAATATGAATTTCTGATATTGTAACTCATTATGGAAAAAAATTGAACATATTTGGACAAGATGATTTCAGCCATTTTCTAGCTTAAAATTTGTTTCTATATGTATACATTTTATTCTGAAATTACTACTGATTAGGGTCATAAAGGGCCCCTGATTTACCCTTGGACTTGCTCTCTCATTCTCTATGCCTATCCAGCTCTGAGTTGTGTGTGTGGGGGTCACATCTTGCTTGTTTCCCTTACAGGAGAGGATGAGGACCAGTATGAGCAGTTCATGCTGCCGCTCACCGCAGCGTTTGAGGCGGTGGCCCAGATGTTTAGCACCAATAGTTTCAATGAGCAAGAGGCAAAGGTGAGTCCTTCACCCTCTGACTGGTCAGCTTCTGGTTGAGGGAGTCCCTGATAGAGACTGAATTAGCTTAACAACACAGAAAATAGTGCTGATCCATGAATTTTCCAGAGTTAGCTTCTTATTTAACCTCAACTCCTGAAATTGAAGGGCCAGTATAGATTTATCAACTACATTTACATTACAGCATGTTCTGAAGCAGCAATTAGGATGGATTTTTTTATCTTAAATTTTTCAATGAATGAGCATGAAGTTATTTTATGTTTTTTATTGCCTTGTTAATTTTTGTATCTTTAGTTTATGTCTCTTTTTCATTTTTAATACTAATTAGTACTTCTTCTTTTTTTTCTATCAGTCCTGCCAGAGCTTAGTTTTATTAGTCTTTGTATTGTTTTTACTTTGCTTTAGCTCTTTTTACCCATGTTTTGTATTTCATTCATTTCTACTTTTAATCCTTATTTTCGTATATTTTTGTTGAGGAGATGCTATTCTAACTTCTTAACTTCAGCCCTTCTTTCATAATGTAACCATTTAAGACTATAAATGTCCCTCTAGATATATTACTCAAGAAGTTTTTTTTGGGGGGGAGAGCTTTTGTGTGTGTGTGTGTGTGTGTGTGTGTGTGTGTGTGTGTCTCGGAGAGGAAGAGAGAGGGAGAGAGAAACATCAGTGATAAGAGAGAATTATTGATTGGCTGCCTCCTGTACACCTCACACTGGGGATCAAGCCACAACCCAGGCATGTGTCCAGACCAGGAATCAACCCATGGCCTCCTAGTTCATAGGTTGGTTGATGCTCAACTACTGAGCCACACCAGCTGGGGCAGAAGTTATTTAATTGTGGTTAAAAAAACAACAACAACGACATAAAACGTGAAATTTATAGTGTGACCCAGTGGTCATATTTAAGTGTACCATATTAATTTCAGTGGTATTAAGTATGTTCATACTATTGTGAAACAGGTCTGCAGAATCTACAAGTTTTGAAATGTAACATTTTTATTATCGTTAAGTCTTGTATTTTCTAATTTCCATTAAGATATCTTAGCTACATGAGTCATTTAGAAGGGTTTATGAATTTCCTTATATATGAAATTTTTAAAGTTACTCTTAGTTATTGATTCCTGGCCCTCAAAATTATCATTTTTATTTATTTTTAATTTATTCTTTTTTAATCCTCACTGAGGATATGTCCATTGATTTTTAGAGAGAAGAAAGGCGGGGAGAGAGAGAGAGAGAAATGTATATGTGAGAGAGAAATACACCCCAACCGGGGATTGAACCAGAAATCTTTCAATGTATGGGACAATGCTCCCACCAATCCAACCACACCAGCCAAGGCAAAATGACAATTTTTAGATTTTTCCTTCCCTTGTATTTTTACTTTGTGCACATCAGCTCTCCTTACTTACAGCTCTCTGTACCAAAACCAGCAGACACTGTGCTATTAATAGATGTAGGACGTTTTGTAGTGTCATAATGACATTGAGACTGACTTCTAGATGCCAGGTTTTACCTGACATTCTAAAATTCTCCTTTTTTATCTTTAGAAAGCCTCTTTATTTTCAATATCCAAGTCAGCAGGGACATCAGAGAGCAACACCACTTGGTCCACCTCTCCTTTTTACGTCAGTGTTTTAGGATCTGAGATTGGTACCATTCAAAGCTAAGTTAGTCCAGCTGGTTTGGCTCATTGGATAGAGCGGACTAAAGGGTCCTGGGTTCAATTCCGGTCAAGGGCACATGCTTGGGTTGAGAGCTTGGTCTCCAGTAGGGGGCATGCAGAAGGAGGCTGATCAATGATTCTCTCTCATCATTCATGTTTCTGACTCTTTCCTTCTTCCTTCCTCTCTGAAATCAATTTTTTTTAAAAAAAAAATTTTTTAAGCTAAGTTAGTGTAGGACATATCAATAATGTAGAGTGACAATCTGCTAGCACCAAATATGACAGGGATATCAGAAAACATCAGCCCTTTCCACATCATACTAGTTCTGTACAAAGCAAGTAAAGTTCATGAAAGAACCATCTGGCCTTGAACTACAACTGTTGTTACACCCAATGTAACAAGTCTTTTAGATTGGCCGTGTCTTAGACTTGAACATTGAGCCCACAGTATCAATTTAGGAATAGAACTGCTTGCTTAAAGCAGGCTGTCGGCAGAAGTACAGTCATTTTTAACAAATGAGACAGGATACCCAAATGTGCTACCTCCTTGAGCCTGCTGGTGCCGATTAGCCTTTAAGATCAGTCTTTCTGCTGTTCAGTAAAGGCTCCATTGAGAAAGGCAGCATTGGGCTTGGAGTCTAGGTGCTGTGATTCCTAATCCTGGCCCTCTTGCCACGTAGCAGCGTGTACGTGGCTGCAGGCGAGTTATTTGACCCCTGAGCCTCAGTCTTTCTGAAAAAGTACAGCGTCGTGCTTTTTGGCTCCTAGATCTGACACACGAGTCTTATTTCCAGGGACCGTGGGCCTCTGTCTTCTCCTGGCAGGCCTGCATTTGAGGGGCAGAGGCGCTGCTGGCATTGTTGTGCCAGTAGATGTGGTACCAGACCTTCAGAATATGGGACTCTTCTGCCTGTTTTTCCTTTTTCTGTGTTTACGTGATTTATCACATTAATGTCTTACAACTCCGTCAGCCTCTGTTTTTGCTGTGATGAGCCTGGAACCTTCCGTTTTCATAGTACAACAAGGTTCTAAACCTAACCTTCCCAGGGGAAGGGTATCATTCTAGTATGGAAGAGATGGATTCCGAATATTTGGGAAGAAATGTTTGTTTGTTTCTTTCTTTGAATTTATTGAGGTGACGTTGATTTGCAAAACCATATAGATCTCAAGTGTACAACTCAAAAAAGCATCATCTGCACACTGCATTGTGCCCCTACCACCCCAAGGAAAGTCAATCTCCATCCCCATCCCCCACCTTTGACCACCTCCACCTAGCCTCCATCTCTCTTTCCTTATGTATAATCCATCCACCTTCTTTCATCCAATCCCCCCTCCCCTCTTGACAACTGTCTGTCTGTTCCACGTGTCCATGCCACTGTTTCTGTGTTGTTTGTCAGTTTATTTTTGTTCATTAGATTCCATGTACGAGTGAAATCATATGTCTTACTCTGACTGGCTTACTTCACTTAGCATAATATCCAGGTTCATCCATGCTGCCGCAAAAGGTAAGATTTCTGGGAAGGAGTGTTTTTTGAAAGATAGAAGAAGTCAATTACAGATAACGTGAAGTCCCCATCAGGTGGCTATAGGTTTGCTTTTTCATTGCTTTTAACATATTTTTGCCTTCTTCTACAGCGAACTCTAGTTGGCCTGGTAAGAGACCTGAGAGGGATAGCTTTTGCCTTCAATGCCAAGACCAGTTTCATGATGCTGTTTGAATGGATGTATCCTAACTCGTGTCACAGCTGTCCTAACTGACATTTGAATGAGTGATGGGGTACGGGGAAGGAGGCAGGGGGAGGAGTAGGGAGGTAAAGGAGGTAAAGAGTTACCCAGAAGACCTGCCATAACTGTGTCTATAGCTGCCGTTCCAGTGTGGCTTGATGACATAACATAGTCTGCCCGGTCACTGAGGTCGGGAAATGAATCGGTGGCCCCCCAGCTTTTCTCCGAGTCCCAGATATAAATGGCTGAGGAACTGTCCCACTGTGGAATTTTTGCACATGAATTTTGCCACGCTTAGGAAGGAGAGACATTTCAATCAACTAAAAAAAGACAGCTTCACCAGGAATTATAAAGTCTAACCTTACTGACTTCATAATTTGAACAAATGACAAAACAGAGTGCCTCTGTTTCTCCAAAGTTATGTAACGGAAACAGCTGATTCCCTATCGAACCACAAGTGGTAAGAGAATACATAACATGAAATGCATTGTGCTCTTCAGAAGAAAGGCATTTTGTAAACTTCATTGTGTTATTAGATGCCTGTTACCAGTTAAAGGACACACAATCACGTTAGCACCTGCTGGTTAGAAAGACTAAGATTAGCACAGCAAGAGACAGGCAGTTAGGAACTTTAATCTGACAAGTCTATGCTTGACCAGAGCTGAGAAATCATTTTAGATTCATTTCGGAATTCAGAATTCTTCCTTAGCTTTTCACTTACAGATACCCATCCTACATGCCAATTCTTCAGCGGGCAATTGAGCTGTGGTACCATGATCCAGCCTGCACCACACCTGTGCTCAAGCTGATGGCTGAATTAGTTCATAACAGGTAAGGAGGAGGAAGATTTTTTAAGGGCACAACCGCCCTTTTATCTGGGAGAGTCCTAAGAGGATTTGTTTTTTCTAATGTTTTCAGCAAATCTAGTGGAAGATGATAAGGTTCACTGCTATCAAAATTTGAAAACTTCTAAAAGTTTACGGGTATATGTTTTCCTTTGTTTAGAAGAAAGGTATCCCAGCCATACAAAGCTATGGCTGCTTGCAGGAAATAAGTGACTTTTAAAAAAATCTCACTGTACACATTCTTATGAGAAGTGAATTTGGCAACCAGGATTCTGATCTCCCTGCCCACACATACAAGTTAACATTCGGAAATGATGCCGTGCCCATCAAGTTTTTTTTTTTTTTTTTAAGTGTATATTTTTATTGATTTCAGAGGGAGAGGGAGATAGAAACATCAATGATGAGACAGAATCATTGATCAGCTACCTCTTGCCGGCCCTCTACTGGGGATAGAGCCCGAAACCCTGGCATGTGCCCTGACCAGGAACCAATCCTGGCCTCCTGGTTCATAGGTCGGCACTCAACCACTGAGCCACATAGGTCAGGCAGAACACCCTTTCTTACAAAAGGTATTTGTTAAGCAGATTATAGCTGGATCAGTAAAGATTTACTTTAAAAGAAAGTGAGAACCAGATAGTTAGATTTGCCCAATGATTTAGGGATGGAGAAAAAGAAAACTCCAGCCTAACCAGTTGGCTCAGTGGATAGAGCGTCGGCCTGGGGACTCAAGAATCCCAGGTTCGATTCTGGTCAAGAGCATGTACCTTGGTTGCAGGCACATCCCCAGTAGGGGGTGTGCAGCAGGCAGTTGTTCGATGTTTCTCACTCATCGATGTTTCTAACTCTCTATCCTTCTCCCTTCCTTTCTGTAAAAAATCAATAAAACTTTAAAAAAAAAAAAAAAAAAAGAAAGAAAGAAAGACCCAGCACTTTGACTCAACTAAAATTTCAGATCTGTGTATCTGCCTCTTGTGGCACCTCTGAGAGAATAATTTTTAAAACTACCGTGGTGAGGGAGTCTAATATTCAGAGAGGATGTTGCCTCCTATGCAGCTTATAGTTAAGAATTATTCACTTTCTACTCTTTGCCAGGCAATTTCCTAAGCTATTGTGCCAGCCAAACCTTAGGTGTTACATTCTGGGGAGAGACAGACAGTAAAACAAGCATGGACAGTCATTTCAAACAGTGGAAAGTCTAGGGAAAAAATAAGGTTCAAAAGAAAGGAATTGAAAAGGGGGGAAGAGAAGGTGATGTTTCAGTTGGGTTCTGAATGACAAGAAAAATTCTGGGTGCCCTGCAGAGAGAGGGCAAGAGCAGAAAACAACTGCAGAAGTCTTGAGAAGGGGGAGCTTGCTGGGCCTTGGACAGAAAAATGCCACTGGAGTGAGCATGTGAATGGGGAAGCCCTGGTAGGCAGAGTCAAGCAAGGGGCAGAAGCTGATCTAACAGGACCTGGCCCCGCAGTAGTGAAGAGTGGGCATGTGTTCTCATGACAGTGGGAAGCTGCTAAAGTATTGTGAGCAGGGAATTAAAGTGACCTCATTTACATTACTTAAAGGTACATTCTAACTACTGCATGCAGAATGGACTGACGGGGGCAAGAGTGGCAGTAGAGGGCCATAGAAGTGGAAGGATTCAGGGCATCTTGTAGAGCGAGATCTTGATGGGGTCAGTGTGGGAGGGGAGGGGAGGATTAAGAAGGACTCCTGGGGGTGAGACTTTACAATTAGAGTCAGTGAAACTCACTGAAAAGGAGGGCAAACCAATGAAGAGTTGCTCTGGTCAAGAGAACAGTCGGGAACTCAAAGCTCGGGTTGTTTTGAAATGTTTGCCTTCCTGCCTGATTTATGTAAGAGCAGTCCCAGTCCCTTTTTGTCTTCTTAAAAAGTATAACGATGCGTGTGCCCTCCCTACATCTACCTTTATAGTTCCACCGAAGCTATAAAGGTAAATGTAGGTTAATGTCTAAAGGCTGTGAGTTAGACATTCTGGGGGGAGACAGACAATAAAACAAGTATGGACAGTCACTTCAGACAGTGGAAATGCCCTTGAAAGAAACAAGGCACTAAAACCAAGAAGTGATGGTGGTAGAAGCTCTGCTTTCATCAAACAAAACAATTTTGAGAGAGTAATTTTATCTGCTGCCTCATGTTTTTGTTTCCTTAAAATGTTTTTTATTTGAGCAGCAGAACTTGAATCTAACATGTTGGTCTTCAAGATAAAAGCTATCTCACTAGTTAAATATCTCTGATCAAATTGGTTACTTTACATAAGGATAGGGAATCTGCATATCTCAGTACAAAAAGACTCACCCAGGTCCTCAGATGAGAGCCTGGGGACCCAGCCTTCGGCAGCATACCTCTGACTTTCTGTCCTTTGTGTTCTCGCCCAGATCCCAGCGGCTCCAGTTTGATGTCTCTTCCCCCAATGGCATCTTACTCTTCAGAGAAACTAGCAAGATGATCACGATGTATGGTACGTGCTTTAGAGGAGCCCAGCCCGCATGACTTCAGCTCCATCCTGGTTGCTGCATGTGGGTCTCAGGCCAGCTCTGGCCATAACTGGGACAGCACTGCCTTGTGTGCTATGTCGCTCAGTGTTTGTATTACAGTGCCAGCAGGCACCGGGGCCTTTGGAGCGGGAGGACTGAGTCGGTATATAAACTGCCAATTGTAACGCGGTTAAATAAGTACATATCACATGTCTACTCAGGCAATCGCATCCTGACGCTAGGAGAAGTCCCAAAGGACCAGGTCTATGCACTGAAGCTCAAGGGCATCTCCATCTGCTTCTCCATGCTGAAGGCTGCTCTCAGCGGGAGTTACGTCAACTTTGGAGTCTTTCGTCTCTATGGAGACGATGCTCTGGACAACGCTCTCCAGACTTTCATCAAGCTGCTCCTCTCCATTCCCCACAGTGATCTCCTGGTAAGCCTTCAGCTGCCTGGTCAGGCCCGATCCCTCAGGGCAGTCCTCTTGGCCTCAGACTGTGCTTGAACCATTCTCTGCAGAACTCTAAGCCAGTTCTAACTTTTGTATTCCCACCTGAAGGGACTGGGCTCTTTTATTTAGGCTCTTGCTCCCCACAAGCTATGCTCAGCACCTGGGCTGATTTTTGTGTCCTGTTCTCCCACAGGATTACCCCAAGCTCAGCCAGTCCTACTACTCACTACTGGAAGTCCTGACGCAGGACCACATGAACTTCATTGCAAGCCTGGAACCTCACGTCATCATGTACATTCTCTCCTCCATTTCTGAAGGACTTACTGCACTTGGTAAGCACCTGGAGTAGTAGCCTTGTTTTTACCACTTCACAGAAAGGGGATCTTGCCCCAGTATCCAAAGGATCACTCTTTCAGGAGTGCATCAACAGAGCACATGACTCCTGGGTACATACTCATTCAGCAAATACTTGCTGATCCCCTCCTAAGGACCAGCGCCTGACTAGTGACTAATAACACGTGGTCTCTGTACCTTAGGAGCTTTTTAACTGAGGATGAAACCGTCACAACACCTATTCCCTTGCCCAGGACAGTAGTGGGAAGAAGAAGCGCTATGGGAGCCCTCAGGAAGGCACCTCTAAACTCCTGGGTTCGGGAGTGGGGTCAAGGAAAGCTGACGAAAGAACTGGTATCAAAGCATAAACCTGGAAGCCGAACAGGTGTTACCAGGTTAGAGGGGAGGCTTCCTAGCAGCAGGGACCACAAGTACCGGCACGTAGAGGCAAGAAAGAACCAGAAGTCCAGATGTCTGTACACCGTGCAGGAGAGAATGAAAAGGCATGAAGCTGCAGAGAGACAGGCTGGGGCACATTTGGGGCTCACAAGAGGTCTTCAGCCATATCAGGACCTTGGATTATTAGGCTGAGCAAAGCAAATGGAAGATTAAATCAACTGCACAGTAATCCTGATACATTGCTGATGCATAGACTCACTTTTGGTTGTCAGTCAGGTGCACAGCCATATCGAGGGCAGTCAGCCAGGGCAGCACACCTGCTTTGGAAGGCTTTCCTATAGCTTCTTAAGAATGGAGGGGCCTCTGCATAGACAGAAACAGCATGGTTTACTCTTGTAAGAGTTCATCCTCGCCAGGCCAGCGCTCGGTCCACAGGCTGTGCTGCAGTGTCGTCTTTGTGAAACGCACAGCGGAGTCTGCAGCCCACTAACAGACTGCAGGTGCTGATAGGCTGCACTATGCTGGGTTTAACCCCACCCCCAGGTCCCTCCTGGTGTGAGCTCACAGCTCCGGCTTCTTGGCTTCTAATCACTAGCAGTGTCATCTCCAAACCTCAATTACTCATTTGTAAAGTAGAATTCCTATCTCTTGGGTTCTTGAGAGGACAGATTAGAGAGAATACCTATAGTGTCCTTAGCACAATAGAAGTACTTGCTACATGTCAACCATTTGTTTTTTATGAAGCAGAAGACATGCATCCATACTACATTGAGCCAATAATTTCAATAATATTTATGTATTATCACACACTCACTTTCAAACTTAGAATTTGACCTATATTAAGGGTAAGAGGTTAACAAAAAGCATCCCAACCCATGGCCTTGGCTGAACTGGTCACGGCTTCCAGTCTGACTGGATACCCCTGGGGTCTCAACTAAGGGCAGTCGTGCTTGCCCAAGTCCCCGTCAGCAGCTCAGTGTCCCTGCTCTGTCCTACTCTGGCCCTTCTTCCTTCTAGACACCATGGTATGCACAGGCTGCTGCTCCTGCCTGGACCACATTGTGACGTACCTCTTCAAGCAGCTGTCACGTAGCAACAAGAAGAGGACAGCACCCCTGAACCAGGAGAGTGACCGCTTTCTGCACATCATGCAGCAGCATCCAGAGATGATCCAGCAGGTAAGGACAGGAGGGTTCTCGGGCAGCACGAGATGTCCCCCAGGGGAAGAACCTCTCTTCAAGACAGGGGAGACCAAGCAAGATGATGAGTCTGATAGCTCCCCAGACTGCTGCTGCCCGGGTGAAGTTTTGCCTTAGAATTGAGATAGGTTCTGAGTGTGCAAACTAGTCATTGGATATAGAAGTTCCAGTGTCACAGCAACCCTATGCTTGGGCCTGTCCCAGGACAGTGCCTTGCCCCCCTTGGCTGTGCATGGCACATGAGTTAGCTGCTTGCACCTGTGGTTGGTTCTCCCATATCTCGTCTTGGTCTATATTGTTCTCTAAGGAAGCAGTAAAATAATGCACATCCCGTCACATCCCCAAAAATGTTACAAAGCTCTCTCCGCTGAGATAAATGCAAGGAGCTAAACTGCAAAGTCATTTTGCACCATAATCATTTTCTTGACTGATCCCATTTTCCACAAGTCAGGGTGAACTGGGAAGGTTCATTTTAAAATGAATTAGCAAACCACTTTAAAGAACGGGAAAGGAAATGTCTTAAAAGAAAAGCTTACCCTGTAATAGAAGACTAAAATGAAGTTGCATAAAATATTTGTCTGGTTTACTCTAGACAGAAAAGGCATCCATCCTAATAAACTCCTCTGTTTGGGATCTAATTAGTTTGGGTAGCGAACACTGGGTCACTGCCTCCGTTTCTCCATTTTCAGATGTTGTCAACGGTGCTGAACATCATCATCTTTGAAGACTGCAGGAACCAGTGGTCTATGTCCCGACCCCTACTTGGCTTGATACTGCTTAATGAAAAGGTAAGCGAGCCACCGCCCTGACGCCCAGGGGCAGGGGAGGGGCACACTGTCAGGACACTGTGAGCAGCACAGAAACGTGCCACAATGAGAAACTCTTGCTTTGAACAACACATAATCACCAGCACATGGGCAGGTCAGACAAAAGTAAAAATGAGCAAGTGTTACAAGGGGAGAACATTCTTGGAGGTCAGAGTACCAGCTCTTCCATGAACATCATAAATCGAGAGTCTCAATAAGGAACAGGTGATTAAGTGAGATAAAGATATATTATCCTGCAAGAGCGTGCTTGAAATTAAAAAAAAAAAAAAAAAAAAAAAGTTATCCAGTTTTAGTAGATAGTCCATCCTGACCTGCAGATGATGGAGGGCTGATCTGCTCTTCCGTCTTCTCTCCTCACCCTGCCTGTCCCACTCCTCCCCCAGTATTTCTCTGACCTGAGGAGCAGCATCGTGAACAGCCAGCCCCCAGAGAAGCAGCAGGCTATGCATCTGTGTTTTGAAAACCTGATGGAAGGCATAGAGCGGAATCTTCTAACGAAAAACAGAGACAGGTGAGTTGAGTGCAGAGGGCCCTGCCAAGAAATCCTGCCGACTTGTTTCAAATCCCTCATCTTTAGAGGCCATTGAGGCAGTGCTGTCCAATGGGAAAGCAAGGCACCTGCGCAGTTTTTTGGGTTGCATGTTTGTATTGATTTTAGAGAGAGAGGAAGGGAAAGAGAGAAACATAAATCAGAGAGAAGTATGGACCGGCTGCCTCCTGCAATCCCCCTATTGGCATTGAGCCCACAAAGAGCAGACAGCCAGGGCACATGCCCTAACCAGGAATTGAACCGGTGACTTCTCAGGGCATGCATGGGTTAACGCTCAGCCATCTGAGCTACACTGGCTGGACCCGCATAAGTAGTTTTAAATTTTCTAGTAGCCACATTGAAAAAAGTAAAATACAAAATTTATTTTAATGTACTTTAGTTAACCCGGTGTATCAAAAACGTTGTCACGGTGTATTTTATACTTATCATGGCATCTCAATTCAGATGCTAAAGTTTCATCAGAAATATGATTTAGATTTAGTTTTCATAAAATTTACAGATGACAGTGTAGATTCCCCATACTGAAGTTGTTCCAAGCGCATGTAGAAATTCTCCCAATATTGAATTGAGATTTTTCTAAATTAAACTTTAAAGTTTATTATACTTTAACTTAAAATACAGCATTTTCATTTCCTTTCATTTCATTTGAATCAGTTCCTCAGTGGCACTGGGCATAATTCAGGTGTTCAGCGGGCACATGTAGCTAGTGCCTATCATATGGACAGCATAGCTTGATGCCATTGGTCTCTTAGGCATTAAGAAATGAAATGGCTTCCTCCTCATCCTTTGTGAAGGTTGCTTCCTGCCTGTTAGTGAGGTTCCTTTGTGCTGCCCTGAACCCACGGTGGCCCTTAGCCCCGTGTAAGGAGCAGATCAGTAGAAGGGGCACAAACTAACCACCTTTCCCTGAGTCTTAAGTCTGATATTTACTGACCTTAGAAACACAACCCATCAGTTCATAGCTCTGCCTCTGAGCAGCCACTTGTCTGCCAGAAACCATGAGGCCAAGACCTTCCCCTTTCACCTCACTCCCCCAACCTCCGTGCACCCTGTCTTAGGTTCACCCAGAACCTGTCCGCATTCCGTCGGGAAGTGAACGACTCGATGAAGAATTCCACTTACGGCGTGAACAGCAATGACATGATGAGCTGACACCTCCTCGGACTCTACCTACACAGAGCAGCGTCCTTTTGGTCTGGCCCCGAGGGGCAAACAATTACAAGGGAGAGGGCCTGGCTGATCCCTGCTCCCTCCTCCAAGGGTGTGGGAAAATGGCAAAGGTCAGCTCGCTGTTCCCCAGGGAATGGGGTGTGAGTGCACTCACTAGGGGGCAGGGCGCTGCTGGTTCTTGGGGACGGGGTGGGAAGGGTGGTGGGAGGAGATAGACACAGACATGTGAGACTCCAGCCCCCTCCTGGGGCCACCCAAAGGCGAGGAACCCACAGTATCCTGCCACAACCTGCCTTGTAAAAACATGTACATTTTTTCATAACATTTTGAACAAGGTTTATATTGACTCAAGTTTAAAAAAAAAAGTGTGACTGAAAAATTTTTACAGAGTCTAGTGCACCAATGCTGATGTGAGGGGTTGTGTATGCGAGTGAGGAAAAATGTGTATTCTGGTGGCCTGAAGCTTTACTGAAGAGGATGTGTGGACATGCAGAGATATATTTAGTGACAGTGTAGAGAGGCAAAAAAAGGTAAAAATTCCAAATGTATATTTTTTCTTATTGCCCTTTCCTTGCCCCCCCAATTATCACTTCCTGTTACTGTGTCACCCTTGTTATTAGGAACTCTAAGCCATGCGGAGCACCACCCTCCCCCCAACCACAGCTGCTGCCCAGGTCCCCGTCGGTCTCCCGCTGTGCTACCACTCCAGCTAAAAGTGTCCGGTGTTCTGAGCTTCATCCTGTTTCCCACTTTGCTTACCCTCATCCTCAGACAGATGCCTCTTGCTTCTAAAAGTCGGATGTGAGTCTATGACTAGGGTTCCTGGTCTCTGTCCAGGTGGAGACCAGAGAGAGATTGAGCCAGTTGCTCTCCTGCGGAGCGATGTGGAGGAGTCCACCAGAGACCCAACTGCGTGTGGCCAACAACTTCCAGTCTTCCCCAGCCCTTGCGGCAGTGTGTGTGGGTGTGTGCGTGTGGATATTTATATGTGTACCCTGCACTCGTGAATGTATGAACTGGAGGGAGTAACCAAGTGGAGGGGTTCTTAATAACAAGGTCTGCCTAGCATGAAGTATTTAACATTCTCCCATCCCCTTAAAAATATACATTTTTATAAAATGAAAACCATTATAAAAGTTTTGAATATTTAAAAAGAATTTAACCTACAGAGGAAAATGAATGGAGAAAGCTATTTGCCTTGTACTTTTTCCACAATTGTTGCTGCTAGTTGTACACATCTCTAGTTCAGCTCTTGCCCATGGGACACTCATCAATTAGGTGTTATTTTATTTCTCTCCTCTACCCCCAGAAACAAACGTATTAATTTTTTCTTCCTTCTCCTCTGGCGACTGTTTGGTGAATCCTTTCTTGCGTGATCAGGTTGCGGATAGACTTGTAAGGGTGTTTGCTGCATACAGTGTAAGCATTGTGACCGCCAATAAACTTCAATGGTTTCTACTGACCCGGTGTCAGCAATCACGTCTAGTGTTTCTACAGGAACGTCTCCCTCTCAACACATGAAGAGGCCTGAAACTTGCATTCTTAAAAGCCAGACCCCTCTCACTGCACTAGTTTCTGGCTTAGTTTCTTCCACGAGTATGATTGGTTTGGTTGATACACACATACACATAATACCATTCAATCTGCAGTAAAGTATGTACATCTTTTGATAACCTTTGAACACATTTATATTGACTCAAGGTTAAAAACAAAAGGTGTGACTAAAACATGTTTCCAGTCAGGTGTGCCAGTCCACGATTGAGGTTACAAATGTGTGTGAGGGAAAAGTGTATATTAGCACATCCATGCTGGTGTCCACAACTATAAAAGTGAAGCCACTCTCTACTAGTTTCCAGGTGACAGCATGGCAACCAGCAGAAAAGTAATAATTTCAGAAAGCCCGGTTTGTTACTGCTGTGACATCTCTAATGTGGATTAGTTCTGAGAAGTTCAAGGATAAAGTGTTAGCTCCTAAAATACTTGGCCGACTTCCTGAGCCAGAATTATCAAATGAAGGTCGCTGTAGTGAACAGGGACCACTTCTCGTCCCCATACTATGAAGAACCTCGGTCTGAGGGGACATAATTGCTGGAACATTAGAAAGTATTAAAAGTACAGATAGGAGGTGTGCTTGATACAGATTTACATCCAAGAAATCAGACCTTAGAGTACCGCTCTTGCCCACCTTATCCAGACGTACCTTTGTCTGCTGTCTGCTGGGTAACTTCTTGGTGCTAAGTTATTTCAAAGGCAAAAAAAAAAAAAAAAAAGTATCCTAATGGCTAGAAGTCAAGTTGAAGTGATCTTCATAGTCAAGTCTGTCCCTTTATATAGAGAGATTATATAATCTCTCTATATAATCTCTCTATATAAAAGTCTACACAACTGTGATGATTGGTTAACTGGCTACTATGACGTGAACTGATCACCATGGGGCAGATGCTTAATGAATGCAGTATGCTCCCATAGCCAACCTGCAGCCAGCCAACTTCCCATGGTCCCCCCTTCTTGCCAGCTGGCCCCCAGGTTTGGTTCAGTGGATAGAGCATCTGCCTGCGGACTGAGAGGTCATGGGTTCAATTCCGGTCAAGGGCATGTACCTTGGTTGCAGGCACATCCCCAAGGGGTGTGCAAGAGGCAGCTGATCAATGTTTCTCTCTCATTGATGTTTCTAACTCTATCCCTCTCTTTCCCTCCCTCTCTGTAAAAAATCAATAAAATATATTAAAAAAAAAAAAAAAAAAAAAAAAAGATGGCCCTGATCACCACCCATGCATGAATTCGTGCACCAGGCCTCTAGTAGAAATATAAAATGGCCAGGCTCCACTAATATGTAAAACATTCTAGCCACATTGCTTCAGCACCCTGGATTCTAATTCTGTAGTGAATAAGAAAAAGTAACTTTCACAGGGAGCTGAAGACCACCCACACCAACTATCCTGAGATGCTGGTTGATACCAAAACCACAGACCCCTTCCTTCCCTTCCACAAAAACTATTTCAGAAAACTCATCCGAGGTGGTGGTCTCAGTGCAACCTGAGTGCAGTCTAGTCACGACAAAATGCCATAGATAAAATCCCGCTCAATCACATCGGTTCTTAAACAGTGAAGCTGTTCCTTGCTTAATTGACAATTATTATACAACAGGGCAACCCCAAACAGCCTTTTCTTCTGGTCAGCAGTTTCCTCTTTCAACCTAATAACTGTGAAAGCCAGTTCTCTTTTTTAAAATATATGTCTTGATTTTTCTAGAGGGATAGGTAGAATGAAATAGCAATGAAAGAGAAATATTGATTAGTTGCCTCCTGCACACCCCTTACTGGGGATCGAGCCTGAAATCCAGGCATGTGCTCTGACTTGGAATCAAACCAGCAACCTCTTTAAACTTTAATTCCCACAAGAAATTATGTTAAGGTTTTATTCTGTTAAAACATGAGTTGAGCCCCAGTTAGTTTTTTTTTTTTTTTTTTTTTAATCAATCTTTATTGTTCATATTATTACAAAGGTTCCTCATTTCTTCTCCCCTCCACCAGGTTCCCACCCCACCCTCCGTCCCCCCCCCACCCCCCATTGTCCTCATCCATAGGTGCAGTTTATGTTCAGTCTCTTCTTCCCTCAATTTCCCCAATAGTAAATCCCTTTTCAGATAGTAAATCAGTTATTTAGCATTTTCTCATATCAATAATACCTCCACATGCCCAATGATACACTTCACACAAAAGACATTTCCCTCTAGGTCAACCAGCCTCATCCAGGCCCCACCCAAGGCACTCACAGATCAACACCCCAGTCCTAAACTAACTCAACACATCCAGATCTAAGCCTTCATCACTTGATTCAGCAGACCCTCAAGTTCCCACGAAAGTTTCCAGCCATGTCTGAGAAGCAGCCGTGGGGCAGGGGCAGGCAAGGAGCGAGCTGTTCTGGGCCTGGCTGCTCAGGGCCTGGCCTCTGTTGCTCTGGTTCATTCCACAACCAGCTGCTCCGGGTCTGGTCACTGCCGCTCCCGACCTAGTTGCTCTGGACTTGGCTGCTGCTGCTCCGGGCCTGGCCGCTCCCAGCCTGGCAGCCGCTGCTCCGGGCCTGGCCGCACCCGACCCGCCTGCTCCCCCGGGCCTGGCCGCTCCCAGCCTGGCAGCCGCTGCTCCGGGCCTGGCCGCACCAGCCCCGCCTGTTCCCCGGGCCTGGCCGCTCCCAGCCTGGCAGCCGCTGCTCCGGGCCTGGCCGCACCAGCCCCGCCTGCTCCCCCGGGCCTGGCCGCTCCCAGCCTGGCAGCCGCTGCTCCGGGCCTGGCCGCACCAGCCCCGCCTGCTCCCCCGGGCCTGGCCGCTCCCAGCCTGGCAGCCGCTGCTCCGGGCCTGGCCGCACCCGCCCCGCCTGCTCCCCCGGGCCTGGCCGCTCCCAGCCTGGCAGCCGCTGCTCCGGGCCTGGCCGCACCAGCCCCGCCTGCTCCCCCGGGCCTGGCCGCTCCCAGCCTGGCAGCCGCTGCTCCGGGCCTGGCCGCACCCGACCCGCCTCTCCCCCGGGCCTGGCCGCTCCCAGCCTGGCAGCCGCTGCTCCGGGCCTGGCAGCACCAGCCCCGCCTGCTCCCCCGGGCCTGGCCGCTCCCAGCCTGGCAGCCGCTGCTCCGGGCCTGGCCGCACCAGCCCCGCCTGCTCCCCCGGGCCTGGCCGCTCCCAGCCTGGCAGCCGCTGCTCCGGGCCTGGCCGCACCCGACCCGCCTGCTCCCCCGGGCCTGGCCGCTCCCAGCCTGGCAGCCGCTGCTCCGGGCCTGGCCGCACCCGACCCGCCTGCTCCCCCGGGCCTGGCCGCTCCCAGCCTGGCAGCCGCTGCTCCGGGCCTGGCCGCACCCGACCTGCCTGCTCCCCGGGCCTGGCCGCTCCCAGCCTGGCAGCTGCTGCTCCGGGCCTGGCCGCACCTGACCCGGCTGCTCTGGGCCCGGCTGCCCCGGGCCCGGCTGCTCCGAGCCTGGCCACTCCCGA